AGCCGAGATAGGTAAATGGTAAGGAGGGAAATGGAAAAAGAGCAGGTGGTAGCGAGAAGAGCTACAAATCAAGAGTTGGCAGGTTCGTATCCCGCCGAGTTTTTAAAAGTGTTGAGTTCATAATGTGTTGTTGCTGTATGACTCATAGTGTCTTTATAATGCAGGACACGGTAGCTGACAATGAACGTGTATCTGTGTTCTGCGATACCTTTTTACGTTACCCCCACCTCCCCATGCTTCTATCCCCGGGTCTTTCCAACGTTTAGTCCCTAAACATGTTTGGCGGTTAAACACAATCCTAAACATGTTTAGATCCGAAACACGTTTAGACCCTTAAAGACATGGGGATAGTTTAGGTTTGTGTTAAGGATCTAAACACATTTTATGTAGTGTACTTACCTCAGGGTGTATATAAAAAGTCACAAAGACTCGCTGCTTAAAGCCTTGACCCGCCAATTGACTGTGAAGTTGAGGACATAACGTCAGATAGTGGGTAGTGTATTGTTTAAAGCCGCGAACGTCCTTCGGCATGACATTTCTATTCCCATATTAGTTTGTTTTTGTAACTGATGACAGCAACGTAATATTTGGGAAAATGTGTGTTAAAAAAAATGGATGAAATCCTAGGTCACTGTAATTATTTGCGCTTACGCCCTTTAAACATTATATATTCACTGTGCAGAAGCACGTAGTAGCATCTTATTTGCACTCTTTAGGCGTTACCCACCAGTATTATAAACCATTCTTCTCGCATAGGGGAGACCACATGACACAGAAGTGCACCACATCACAAGGGCATCACATCGAATAGGTTCACCAGTGCAGAGGCGACTAATAGCCTTGCTATCTGTTCGCCGTTAATGGTGGGGTGCGGGTGGTCCAATCTTCTAAGGCGACCAAATTCGCTGTGCAGAGTTGCGTCCCTTAGGCATGCCAGAAATCTGTCATGGTGGGATCGACTTCCGGTTCGGCCTGATAATCCTTCTGTGATTTTCAGCTTTATACCCGTGTTCGTGGATTTCGTATAAGACCTGCTACACTTAGGGATTTCATACCATATCAAGTTAGTCTGTCGTCCAGACCCTAGAGAATAAATAAAAAATAGGGTCCAACTCAAGTCTATAATAATTTGGCATGTTTAGTTTGCCTTAGCTCTGGATTTTATAGTTTTTTATTTTGTACATATATACATTTTAAATAAGATAACATTGTTTCTGGGACTAAATGTCATTCTACCATCAGGCTGACACCTGAGATATTGCTGAAATACTCTTCAAGGCGGAGTTAAACCAAACTCACTCACTCACAATGAGTGGTTTCGAATGTAACGCAAACCTGACCTCAGATCCCCAGTCAAGAACCCTCAACACAAATAGGTTTAAATATTAATTCAATGTGGCAAAATTAATATTTGTCTTTCATCCATAAAATGTTATGATTACCGTGTTCATACGAACTAAATCACCGAGTGTTAAAGTTTTTTAAACTTTAAGAGGCAGGTGATATGAGCAAAGCAAACAACTCATGGACATGTGTACGAGGACGTGCTTTAGAATCGTCACAACCTGCATTGTGTTCATGCTTTACCTCACTAGTTAGTGAACGGAAACTTTGATGGTCATCTTAAACAGCTTAAATTGCCTTCACCTACTGTAGGGCTTAGGCTTCAGTGGGATGTATGCAATGGCCCGGATAAAGCCCCGGGCTTCTTTGTAAGTGCTGTATTATATTATAAAACAAAACCTGAAAAGGCCTCCGCGTCAGGAAAGATCCCAAGCAGCCTCTGCTGGTTGTAAGAGGTGACCAAAAGAATCGACCGCTCAGACTCGGTGACTTGGTTGATTGTGCGTCATCTTAAACCGCGGCGCTGATCTTTGCTCACAATATCAATCACTGGATTGTCTATTCCAAACTCGACCATTTACAGGCCGTATATTTAGGTAATATTACTGAGCGGGGCGTTAAACAACAAACATACTCCTGCTAATAGCCGTACCAAGCCACTCCCATCAAACTGTCACCCCTGATATAACAGAAATACTGCTGAAGGCAGAGTTAGGCCCCTCTCATTGTGCGACATTTGTTCTACCGGGAGGCTATATTTAATATATTTACCCAGGGAAGCGGGCGTTAATATCAGAATAAGTACAATATGCCTTGATGTCATTCATTATCCAAGTCGCGGGAAGTCATTGATCGTATATTCATACTTGAATACAACGGATGAAAAGAAATTATATCACAGAAAAGGAGTGGTGGAGTGATGTAGGGGTGTGTGTGTATGTGTTGAGGTTCTTGCTCAAGCTGAAGTTTCGAAACTAGGGTCATTACTCATACGCGTTAGCTAACAAATTGAAATCACGTGTTCCTTCCGTTCTAAAATAGCACATGGGAAAAGACACCGCAACCTAACCATTCTTCTGAAGCGCAAACAACTGAAATTGCTAATACCAGTCAGTAAGTAAACACACGAACATGTATCTTTAGAGCCTTTTCATATTTTTAATAAAGTTGGTAACCGTTGGCTTAAAAGCAAACCGAAGCCCAAGCAAGGCTATTATACAACGCCCTGTCGAGTCAGATCGTCTGCTTCTACTTCCCCGACACACTCAAGTACACAAGAATGCGCATGAGTATTAGCCCGACTTTGTGCGAGAGGCGAAACTCCAACCAGCTTAAATGGTAGGGTGATAAAATCGTGAATACCACCGTATTGTATCTGTTACTCTCCCAGTGGCTTTTGGGCACTGATCTTGCTCCGGGACTACACGAAGTGACACACCCTGAACACAAGGAGGCGAGGTAAGGGCACTATCCATAGCGTTCAATAACAATATGTAATATGAATTACACACGTGTTAATGTTGTCATGCGATGTTTTTGTGTTTTATCACCCGGAATGTGTAATCCGATATTCATGTTAAACAACTAAATGTTTGGAAGTTTGACACTGGTTATATTGATAGTTTCCCACTCTAAGGACGTTTATATAACGTGTGACAGAGGTGGATCCACGAGCTTGAAAAAAAGTTAGGGGTTCAGATTTTACACAAGCCGTGTAGTGAATAAAAGCACGTGCTAATTGACAGGTAAGATGCCTGAAAGAGGGATCTCCGCACCATCCAACCACGTCATCAGTATGCCAGTGTATGCACGCAATTTACTTTCATTCCTTAGTATATGTGATTTAAGAGGTTTTATCGATTTTGGAATAATATCGATGTACAGTGTTCTGTGGGTTTATCCTGGAGACTCGGTGTGTTCTGCCGAGCGTTGGATCTATTGCCGTGTGTTAAAGATAAAGGACGTGTTTACTAGCACAAGTTCTAAGTTGCTTGTTTTAACAACGTCCATTGGTATTGCGTTACCCACGATGGTTGTAATCATTATATATGACTCTGACACATGTGTCAGAAGACTCTGACACATGTGTCAGAAAGTACAATCACTCACGGTGGAACAAACATCACCTGTGCTATTGGAGGCCCAACGTTTGCCAATGGGGAAAATATTTCCCCAACAATACTCAGCGCGTACTAATTCATACATTCTACATTGTGGCTTTTACCTTGAACTGATCACACTAATACAATAACGTTTTATTGCATATACCAGCCGGACAGGTTTCCGACGCTTAAGACGATAACGCAGTATCATTAGAGGTTCACTAGTTTCAGGTTGTGGGTTCAACAGGATATTATCGACAGTAATCTATGGGGCGTACAGGTCAGTGAGGCGAGGACACTAGGGACGAAGTAAGTCTTTCTTTCAGGTAATCGACAGGGCAACAGCCAGTGTTTTCATTATTGATCATGTATGTATCGTTTGTGTAATTGGCTGATATTCTTGGAGTTGATTAACTCATGTTGACTTGTGCGTTGCATGGTTTCAGCAACTTAACGGGACTACTGGGACTGACAGTCAGATATAAGTACTGTTTCGCCCTATACTGTATATAGTCATATATATACTCACAATTTATCGTCGTGCACAGACGCTAGCCCGAGACAACTAAATTGTACTGAGGACACCTAAAACTCGAATGGCGATCGTTCTCACGAACAAGTAGCACCTCAGTGCTATGATTCAGGTGTCCGTCCCACAACGCGCAGCGCTAAGGTGATGTAACTCCCATTCGCTATCATCGCTTTGTGGAACGGACCCTGAACCAGAATGTATGTGGCTACAAATTGGAAAAGATAGAAAATGTAAACATAGTAACAAACAGCTCCAAACTGCGAGGACAAGTGAAATACGGGTTACACTAGTTCTCTGGACTCTGAAATAGAAGAATTTCAAAGGAAGCGGGCGTTATGAAAATAGTATTCAGATCGTTGACATGACATAAGAACTCGAGAAAACTAACCCTTCTGATATATATGATATACTCGTAACCCAGTGAGTGTATCGTGTTGTCATCACACCCTGGCGGAGTGGCCCGTCCCTCATGCTATCAACCACTGGTTCGACTGACCCTGATTTGATCATTGACATGTCGATCAACAACATCACTCACATTCACTCCGTTGAGACGTTAGAGACATGCAGTGGTTGGCAGTGTGCTGGTGTGGGCACTGTGATGGTGATTGTCCAGCATTAGTGTCACTGTGTATGCAGAAAGGATTCCTCTCCTGTTTACTTACACATATATTATGATTTGCGTACCACAATTCATGCGATCGTTTGTTGATTTTGTCAAGGCCGTATTGTTTGTTCATAGGCTTGACCCATATTTACCCGGACTACGAAGAATAGTATTCTAATCTCATCATCACATACATATATAATATCATGGGGTTTATCTTTCCTACAGTGATGCATCGAACTAAATAATTATAATCTTTAAGAATTCTCTTTTTGACTGAGGGCGGTCGGGTAGCCTAGTGGTTAAAGCGTTCGCCCGTCACGCCGACGACTCGGGTTCGATTCCCGACATGGGTACAATGTGTGAAGCCCATTTCTGGTGTACCCCGCCGTGATATTGCTGGAAAATTGCTAAAAGCGGCGTAAAACCATACTCACTCACTCACTCTTTTTGACTGACATCTGTGAAAACATTGCCTCGTGACTGAAATGAAGTGATGGAGTTCGTTTTGATGTTTACTGGACAGAACAGTTCATCTATCGTTACACGTTTGGTGTCAGGCCCCTAGTCATATGTCGGTTTCTCATCTTTCGTGGACATCGTAAAGTATCTCAATGTGTCACTTGCATTGTCCGGTAAACGCCGCACACGGTCCACAGACGCGACTAAGTGTCTGAATATAGCCGCTGCTCCTTTAGAGTCAATGGCAATGGGTTTGAGAGAGCTGTGATGGTGACTCTAGACAACGGCTTGAACATTTGGATCTGTCGTGAGAGGATATTACGTTCATTTCATTTGTGATCGTCTTGGCTAACCAAGCGTGGTAAATATAGAGCCGGGGGTTTCGTTTAATGGCTCGTACAACCTAGATTGTTTGCCTGTATTGTAGCTGCGATGTATTGGGTTTCAGTGTGTCCTATGTGTTTTACGTCTTCGCTTTCCGCTCCAGTCCTGCCAAGAAAAAAAGGACATTCCAATTTGAGAAAAGTTCCGCTGGGGAGTCATGTTTGAAAGCTACTTGTTCGCAACTGAAGTATGTCATAAATACATGTCTGTTGAAACTGCCATGTAGTATTATATTCAAAATTGTATTCATTACATTGCTGCTTGTAAGTTGTTTACGTCTTATATGACTGAAAACTGCCACGTGTCACACTGTGACCAGCAGGTGGATTGCGCATCTGGAGTAAGCCTCTCTCACACGTGACGCCACGCTAACAATAGGGAGGTAATTGGACACTTCAAATGGGGTGCACATTCCGAACACACAGGAACCGCATTCCAAACTAACAGCTGGATAACGAAGAAATTTAGGTTGGAGCAGGTTATTCAACATCATACCATCGCTTAATATATTTGCTGTCTCATATTCTAATTACGCAATAGGATCTGCTGTTTTTCTTGGTGGACAACGTCCTTCGGTTGAGACATCTCGATATCAGTAGTTTGGGAGTGAGTACAGTGGTTATGACGCCGCTGAGAACAGAATTTCAGTCCCGCGAACATATGTTTTTTGTTTATTATTCTGGAACACTATCCTTACACATCCCCACCCCATCCCCCATCCACACCCCACCCCACCCCACCCCTCACCGAGCTCACATCAAATGGCAACACATTGTAGATCTCATGTCCTGTACAACACTGTAATAGTGACTTGCGTGACAGGAATTATCCGATTCTAACTAATTGCCTTCTGTCCCACAGGTTTGGACCCATCCCCTGCGTCTGCTATTGTCTATTCGTGGAGCGTCCGGTAACCGACCCTCCCATGGAAGAAGAATCGTACCTAATTTGGAATCAATTTTGCAGTAGCTGACTAGAAGACCTCTGTATTTGATCACTCAGACAAGCCTATCAACATGCCTCGGTTAAAGAAGAAGACAGTGGGGTTGTTTGTAACAATTATATTGTGCATTGTGGTGGGTCTGCAGTATTTCAACGACAGCGATCTGCTGAAGGAGGCCGCCTCTCGCCTGCACCGGCACAGTGGAGATCTCAACCGGATGGTGCAACAACCACTAATCAGAGACTTCTCATCACTTATTGAAAACCGATCGCTTCTAAAGATGAATCTGCCGACCCTTCATGAATCTGTTAAAGAAAGTGGACCAGTGGACAGGATGTCAATAAGAAGAATAGATCTGCCTGGTGAGTTACCACCACGCAGTTTTAACGACCTCGGGCAACAGGTAGTTCCCAATACTGTATTCTACGTTTGGTGTGGGAACAGAACATTCGAGTATATTCACTATTTAAGTGTACGCAGTGTCTGGACGCATATGGAACCTGATCTTTTAGAGATTCATTATAAGACCCCACCTCAACAAGATAAATATAACGACTGGCTTGATTCACTTAAATCCTCCATTGCCAATCTTGTTCTGAGAAAAATGCCTGATTGGGCGAATTGTGAAAATTCGCATGAATTCGGCCGGGAATTGTTGCACGACATTGGCGGTGTTTTTGTCTCCGAAGACACAGTTATATTGAAGCCACTGCCAAATTTTAGAAAGGAACACTTATCAGCATATGTAGCGGACAATAACGTTCCAAAAGTTCTGATCAGCTCGCCGGGGAATGACAAGTTAAATGGGCTGCCATGTTTCAAAAGTACGATATTTTATAAACAGTCTGAACTTGACATCAATGTTATCAAATCGTGTCAGAAAGTCCTGTTCATTTCTGACAGTGAACTCCCTCAACCCACCCACTGTGCCTTCATTGTTCGCAAATCATACCCAAAACATATAATATCACTCGAGAGTCCTTTTGGTGCCGATCTACGGTATGTTGCATATGGGCAGAGGGAACCCATATACCCATCTACTGACCCTTCGTCACCAATTCCAAAAATCGTGCATTATGTTTGGTATAACAAGGCAAATATGACTTTTATTATGTACTTGAGCATCATGAGTTCACTATATGTCGTAAAAGCGGACAAAGTTTTCATTCACGGTAACAATGCACTAGAAGGTTTTTATTGGGACAAGGTCAAGGTCAATCCGAGGGTAAGGTCGGTTTACAGAGAAGTCCCAAAGGAAATCTTCGGAAACCAAGTATTATTCCGACACCACAAAAGTGACGTTCTTAGAGGAGATATTTTATACAAGTACGGTGGCATCTATGTTGACTGGGATGCTTTGTGGTTGAGACCTGTCGATGACATCATATCCGCCGGATATGACGTAGTTGTTGATATAGATCACCTTCCTCGTGAACCGTTTCCGGATTCGATCAATATGGGAGTCGTACTCTCAAAACCAAGATCAAAATTTATTGACATATGGAGAAAGACTTACAGAAAGTACAGGAGTAATGATTTTTATTATAATCCAATCGAAGTTCCATATAAAATATATGAGAGGCATCCGAATTTGGTTAAAATAGAACCACGACTGCAGGTGATGTGCTTTAGACTCCTGTGCCATCCCATATTTCACCCACAGTACAAAGACTTCCAACAGTCCCAACCTTTCAATTGGAGAACGGATGCCCTGGCAATACACTTTACTCACCCAGATCCGGAAGAGTATGCCAACGAGACAACACTGAAAAATGGATCTGGAATGTTTGCTGACATAGGGAAATATATTTTGGATTCTATCAAAGATTAAATAATAAACAAAATATGTGATACTGAATTATGTTGTGTACTTGTGTCTACTGGTGGAAATGTCTTGAGAAATAACTGAGATGTGGTCTTTATGTGGCCCTGAAATAATTAAGGCGTAATATCCATAGGGGCTCGAGTCGAGAGTGGTTGAAGCTCTAGTGATTCACTCGCCATGCTAAAGACCCGCGTTCGATTTCCTACATGGGTATAATGCGAGGAGTCTATTCGTCACGGTCCAGTGATATTATTGGAGTGAAGCAGCTGACAGCTATTCACAATCCAATGACGTGGGGACTTTAGGTCCCGAGTAAACCGTCTTTCTAAGACTCGACGTAAGAGCAGCATTGGATGCGGCTACTCCACGTCGACAAGACGGAACCCAGTTCGATAAGCCATTGCCATTGTTTAGTTTTGATCAGGAGAACATGTCAATGAAATTACATTTGACCTGAACGTAATATAAAAGTCTGCCATTTAAATTAGTACTGAAACAAACATGACGCAGCTACTGTTGTTTCCAGATCAATGCTTATGGTAGGGCATGTGCTTCCGGCTTGTGTTTACAGCTTGTTTAATGTTTAATGTCTATTTCTGTTTCATGGACGAATGAGCCTAGTTCAGATTCCACTATTTCCAGGCCGCCGTGTTACTGCTGGGATGTTGGTGACGGAGTCGTGTTATAATGTCACTCTCTCACCTAATCGAATAGGTCTACCAGGACACTGCAACTTGTACATGCATCGCCTAGGGCCGACCAAGCGCTACCTCTATCTATAATGTAAATGTCATTGCTAATTGTCAATACTGTTGACATAATCAACTGGAGCGTGGTAAAGCCGCAGATACCGACTCCAGTGATGCGAACTACGTGCTACTCGAGTCAATATGACCAAAGAAATGCTTCTGTACAATTTCAATGTATCAGACTTGAGAGGTGTTGGCTAATACCCTGATAGAAGGAGCTCGAATGAGAAAGTCAAACTGTTGGAGCAAATGATTTACTGAATTGGTGAACGACAGTGAATCGCTGCCATGACCTATCCCCAATGTTGAATACCCCTAACCCTGTTCAGCGGTGCCTGCATTGTGAAAGCGTTAACTTTATGATCGACTTTATTGGAACAACTGCCCTTAGATACTCTCTGACAACGATTTTCAATATCTGTCTTTCTGGGTTTTTAATGACACGGTTTTGTTAGCCGGTGAGGACGATTTTACGGCGCATGTAGCAATATTCCAGTAATATCGCTGCGGCGGACTCAAGACACATATTTGGCCTACGTAAGGAATCGAACCGGATCTTTGTATGTTATTCAGGCAGCCAGTGACAAAGGCCCCATGGGGTATTGAGGTCAAGCATGTATTTGTTTGTTTGTTGTTTAACGCGCACTCAGCAATATTCCAGCTATATGACGGCGGTCTGTAAATAATCGAGTCTGGACCAGGCAATCCAGCGATTGACATAATTAGCATCGATCCATGCATCAATCAAGTCAGCGAGCCTGACCACCCGATCCCGTTAGTCGCCTCTTACGACAAGCGTGTAGCCCGCACTCAATCTTGTATGACTCAATAAACAACACATGTAAAACAAGAGGTTTGATATGAGAAATTTATAATTAGTTGTCTTCATAATCACATGTATGGTGCTTGCTGGGGATAGTTGAGAGCAGTATTGTTTCAAGTAGTTCACTGTATGTAATGTATGATTCATACCGTTCATGCGGCGGTTAACGGTTCTGCATGGTTTATTGTTTCGACGGTTGTTTTAACTTCCGGCAGAGATTATACACCCGTATAAGTTCTTTGCCTCTGGATACATAGGAGATCAACAGGTTTGTCTGTAGTTTGCAATTATTTTTCTAAAACATAATTCGGTGGCATGATATCTTCACGATGTCTGGGTTGAACATAGTACCATTCTTCTAAACATACTTCAGTTCAAAACCACCGGCAGGAATCACAACAGAAATCCAGCTAACTAAACGGAACCGTACACAAGAGTGAGTGAGTGAGTTGGGTTTAAGGCCGCTTTGAATAGTATTCCATTTATATCACGGCGTGTCAGCTTGATGTGGGAGGAAAGCCCGAAGTGAAGCAGGTCTTAGACGTTCACCAATTTGGTGAAACCCACGAGCACGGGTATGGTGCTGACACACTGGCGTCTGGCGTCCCCAAGGGACACAACTCTGCATTGCGAATTGCAGCGCCTCAGGTAATTGGGCCAACTGTGCCCCCGTACACAACTGTAACAAACTATCAAACAACAAAGATGTTTTAGAAAAGATATTAATTGCGTAACATTCCATGAAGAAACAGTGGCAATATTACACAATCACAAACTACAAAATATATGCACAGTAAGTGCAAAACACAAGGTACATTCAACATACAAAGGGGTACATTATAACTGTATTGTAAAACAAATGTATTATAATGACATGGAAACAATATGAGAATGTGGCAAAACTCAAATTGGAAATTGTTTCTGGATGACTGTTTGTAAAATTAAAAAGAATTGTTCCTTTTAACAGAGTGTACCAAATTCTTTATCATGATTGAAGATTATTTGTAGAAGAGAGTCTCTTTCTTGGTTGTATTTTATACAAGACAGTACAAAGTGTTGCTCATCTTCTAAGACATCACATGTTTCACAGAGACGTTGTTCCAGTGGGGTCGGTATTTTTGTATATCTACCAGTTTCAATTTTTAGTTTGTGATAACTTAAACGAAGTTTTAAGAAATGTGACCTATGAGCTTTGTTTTTAAAATATGTAGGATAATTCTCAATATTTATAGATGACTTAACCAACCTGTATTTTCTTTACTTGCTGTTGGATGAATGGGAATCCCTTTATGAATGCGTGAACATTTTTTTACATTTGGACTGATGTTTAATAACAGTGGATTTATTACATTAATTTGTGTTCTATTTCAAAAGTTTGTTTTATTTAACACAGCCAACAGTTTGGTTGGAAAACATCTTCCCGGGCAAGTGAGTTAACTGACTGGTGTAAAAGTACAGTGTCCACCATTGCCGAACCGGGCCCTCACTTGTCTAACACACTAACCTTGGGAAAGTGGGCGGGAAAAAAAAAACTTAAGGAAAATACGGCTCCTTATTGCCGATCAATACCAAATATTTTACAATTTAAACATGTCCGTTGACTGTGGTGGCCTATTGAGGGCAGGCTGACCCGAAATTTAAACACATTGTAGAATAGTTGCTGGGAGGAAAGCACATGTGGATAAAAAACAAATCTTCACCATAAAATCTTATTGTAATTAACAAGATTCTTACCTTCTTTGATAGGCATTTAGATGTTGAAGTACTCAGTAAGGATACGAATTTATGGGTGAACAACTTCTTTATTACAATTAAGAGCGACGTTTCGGTGTAACTCGCTTGATAACGGTGTTTGAACCTACATCGAAACGTCGCTCTTAATTGAAATAAAGAAGTTGTTCATCCATAAATTCTTATCCCTACTCACTAAGATTCTTACCATTGACCTATTTCAAGTCATAAAACATAAAGCACAGGTTCGAATCAGGTTTAGATCTAGATAGTTTCTAAAATATGTTTTCAATTTATTAAATTTGAAGGACAGATGGACCTGATGTTGGTCTACAATCTGCGACGTGACGACGTTTATGTCACGGTCAAAGGTAGACAATTGAATCGATTCTATTCCATTTGTGGTCAAAGGGAAGTAACTGTACTTTAGCCCATCAACTGCATTGATTGCACCTTCACAACTCAGTACTGGCGGGGTAATCTTTCAATGCCGTCTTTACAATGTTTCTTCACATCTACCTTGATTCATTGTTCGTTATCTAAGTATGTCTATGAGGACCATGCTATGACATTTTATGTTACACAAAAACCGACCTACCGGAAATATCCTAAGCGTCTGATGCCTTGTTTCAACTAATTTGACATAATAATAATAATAATAATAATAATAATAATAATAATAATAGTAATAATGTTATAATTTTTATTATGGTCAATCTTTCAGAATATCATTGTGGCACAGTGAATATCATATAGTTACCGATTTATCCGAAAAACATTTTGGCATAAACCCACATCACAACAGATCAAAACTTGACGTCACAGTATTTTTTTTATGACAAGTAATGTGCAGAGGACAAGGTTTCCCCTATGGGGGCGGTCGGTCGGTCGGAAAATAAGGTCTTATTACAGAATACCTATTCAAGGTTTAGACGACACAAACCAAATATTTGACAATTTAAACACACTGAGAGCAAGCTGAACCCCACATTGTGGAAAAAGATCTATGCATTGATTAAACTTATGAATTAGAATGTCTTGAATCTTCTTGAAATAAGACCGTAGATCACACTGGTGTGTATTGTTTCTAGTGGTAACTGACCGGTATATTTTGGCTACCCTGTCGGTTTCGTATATATTTGTATGAAGTATGAAATGACAAAATATACGTACGAATAGATGGAATCACTGTAAATTGGCTCACTGCAAGTGAACCAGGCGTGAGGTTGATGTATGGAAGCTTGAACAGGCTATGTTGGTGGGAGTCAAGCTAGTTTTGGTACACAGTCACTTTAACTCTCTTATCGCTGAGAGAACCACCGAAGGTAGTAGTCAGGAGGTTTTCTTAAGTAGTAGTAGTAGTAGTAGTAACTTATGTCTACTTTAACGACCAAGGTTGCACCAACTCTGTACTTCACAAATCAAACGAGAGATGCCCGTCCGTGTAATTGCAATTGTCGCAGGTTTTCATGCCATGTACTTTCTCAAACATCAACACAGTTCCACGCTTAATATATGAATTATAGTGGAGGCAAGTCCTATATCGCAACACACAAACAAAGTAGCAACGAGCTGCTTCCATTCCAAGTTTCAACAGTTCGCTTTAAATACGCCTACTATCAGTTATAAGATGAGCGTGGTATTTAAGCCATTGGGAAAGTTGATTCTTTTTTCAAGAAGCGGCAAACAAATACACTCGGACGGCGGATAATTCAGGACTAAACACAAAC